CTCCCACCCCCACTGTGTGTGTGTGTCTGTCCCCCTCCCCGTGCTGTCTGTCTGCCCGGATGGCTGGGTCCCGTACTGGGACAGGGAGGGGCTGCCCCCCCCCGCCCCCCAACCGATCTCTGCCCCTTTTTCTTTCTCGAGGAACCCGCACGAGCCCGAGAGCAAGGACCGAGTGGAGACGCTGAGGTGAGTGTGGGGACGGGGTCCTCGTGACACCCCCGGGGTCCTCGTGACGTCCCCACAACACCCCTGGAGTCCCCAGGACCACTGTCTTGTCCCCCAGGACACCCCTGAGGTCCCCGGGACACCCACAGGGTCCCTGGGACACCCATAGGACCCCCCCCACCCCATGACACCCAGGCCCACCATATTGGGCCTGGTGACGTCCCTGGGGTCCCCCCGTGACACCCAGGACCACCGTACTGGTCCTAGTGACATCGCCAGGGCCCCCATGACACCCCAGACCACTGTGCCGGTCCTGGTGACAACCCTGGGGTCCTCCTGACACCCGTGATTACTGCGCTGCTCCCCCTGCCACCTGTGGGGTCCTGGTGACATCCGTGGGACACAGGGGCTGGCTGTGTCCGTCCTGGTGGCATCCCTGGTATCCCTGTGACACCCAGGACCTCCGTGTCACTCCTGGTGACGTCCCAGACCTGCCATACTAGTTCTGTGTCATCTCCAGAGCCCCCGTGCCACCCAGGACCACCATCCTGGCCCTAGTGGCATCTCTGGGACCCCCAGGACCTCCATGCAGCCCTGGTGACATCCTTGGGACCCCCAGGACCTCCACACTGGTCTTGGTGACATCCCTGGTGTCCCTATGTCCCCCAGGACCCCCACGCGGGCCCCAGTGCTATCCCCAAGCCCCCCAGGACCACTACGCTGGCCCTGGTGACATCCCCAAGACCCCCACGACCACTGCACTGGTTCTGGTGACATCCCTGGGGTCCATATGACCCCCAGGACCACCACGCTGAGCCCGGTGCCCTCCCCAGGACCACCACACCCACCCTGCTGCTCCCGGTGCCACTACCACCCACCCCCCCACCTTGGTGACACCCCCACCTTCCCTCCTTGTCCCCTCTCCCCAGACCAGCGGTAGGTCCCGAAAAAGAAACCCGCGAAGCTGGCGCTCGAGAAGCCAAACCTCGTTCTTTACGTTTTACCTGGAGCATGAAAACGACGAGTTCCCTGGAACCGGGCGAAATGTTACGGGAAATCCGGAAAGTTCTGGACGCCAACAGTTGTCGGTGCGAACCCCAGGAACGGTTCGTCCTCCTCTGCGCCCACGGAGCTCCCGGGCACGATTCCTTCGTCCAGTGGGAAATGGAAGTTTGCAAACTTCCCCGTCTTTCCCTCAACGGCGTCCGCTTCAAACGCATCGCCGGGACCTCCATGGCCTTCAAGAACATCGCCTCCAAGGTGGCCAATGAGCTCAAGCTCTGAGCGGGGACGGCGGAGGAGGGGGGAGACAACGGTGTCACCTCTGTCACCTCCCCCCACCCACCAACCCCCTTCTCCCACTTCGGGGGAGCGGAGGCGATGGATTGAGGCGGGGGGGATGCGTGTCCGGGATCGGATGGACCTGGGACATTGCGGGGGGGGGTGTTCTTGAAGGGGCTGCGTGGGGACGTTATGGATGGACCTGGGGACCTGCAGGGACGTCCTGGGTGGGCCAGGACATCCTGGGGACATCCTGGGGACATCCTGGATGGACCAGGGACTTTTGGGGTGGTCCGGGACCCCATGGGGACGTCCTGGACGGACAGGGGACATCCTTGGTGGCCCTGGGACCACTGGGGGTGTTCTGCGTGGTCCTGGGCCTCATGGGGACGTGGTGGATGGCCCAGGGACCTGGGGGGACATTTTGGCTGGGGACACACACACTCACATTCTGGGTGGCCTTGGGGACATCCTGGGTGGCCCTGGGCCAGGTGGGGATGTTCCGGTGGTCCCAGGTGCGATCTCCTGGATGGACCAGGAATGTCCCCGAGCCTTGGGGGG